GGGGATGTCAGTCAACTAATGCAAGAGGCCGTATCCTCCTTGAAGCATTTGCACAGCTAGACCTTGTACTTTGCAATGCTGGGAACACTCAAACATTTAGAAGAGGTTCAACAGGATCTGTAGTTGATTTAACGTTTATTAGCCCAACTCTTGCTAGGGATTTCGAATGGAAAGTCAGTGAACACTACACGCATAGCGACCACCAGGCCATAATACTTTCAGTATGTTATGAAAACCATATACCGCCAAAACCAAAGAGAATGCCTCGAACGACAGGATGGGCACAAAATAAGCTTCAACAAGAAATATTTCTGTATGAATTCGCTAACCAGGTGACGTTGGATGACATGAGCCAAATCACACATACCCATATTATGGATGCCCTAAAGAGGGCGTGCGATGTATCTATGCCCAAGAGAAGACAATCAGATAGTAGGAAACCAAACTACTGGTGGAATCCTGAAATAGCAGCTCTCCGAAAGGAATGTCTTAAAACACGACGACTATACCAAAGGAGAAGAATGAGACCAAATTCCGAAGTAAGACACCAAGCCTACCTTGAAGCTAGACGAAAACTACAACTTGCCATTAAGAAAAGCAAACGAGATTGTTTCAAACAACTGTGTAAGGAAGTTGACTCGAATCCATGGGGAAATGCGTACAGAATCGTATTATCACGACTGAAAGGTCAACGAACTCCCCAGGTTACATGTCCACAAATGCTCCAAAGAATCATAGAGGTGCTGTTCCCAAGAGGACCATTTTTCCAGGAAGTGACTCCATCCATACATATGCTCAGTGACCGGAGACAACAAAGCACCAGGACTGGACGGAATCCCGAACAAAGCTTTGAAGCTGGCCCTAAAGGACAAACCTCAAGTATTTGCAATGGTGATGAACAATTGCCTTAGGAAGGGAAAATTTCCTGAGCCATGGAAAAAACAAAGGCTGGTCTTAATACCAAAACCTAACAAAAGGATCGGAGACCCATCCTCATACAGGCCGATATGTTTGCTGGATACGATAGGAAAAGTATTAGAACGAGTTATCTATAATAGGTTACTACCTGCGGTGGAAAGTGTTAACGGCCTCTCGGACAGACAATATGGATTCCGAAAAGCAAGATCCACAATAGATGCCATTAATCAAGTTAAACACCTGGCGGAGACAGCTATCAAAGGAAAAGGGGCCAGCAAAAAATATTGCGCAGTCATCACACTGGACATAAAAAACGCATTTAATAGCGCTGGATGGCAACACATCATGTCTTCACTACATAGGCTAGACGTTCCAAACTACTTAGTAAGGATACTTATGGACTATTTCACAAATAGGACCCTCTGGTATGATACTGACATAGGAATGCACAAATATAAAACATCGGCCGGAGTCCCCCAGGGTTCAGTGTTGGGCCCACTTCTCTGGAATACAATGTATAATGAAGTCCTGGAGCTAACTATACCCAACGAGGCAAATATTATTGGTTTCGCTGACGATATTGCTGTAGTGGTCCAAGCACGCTTCCTTGACGAGGTAGAAATGTACGCTAATGATACTATACGGATTATTAAAACCTGGCTTGCGAAAGTTGGGTTAGAACTTGCAGATCATAAAACGGAAGCTGTCCTAATTAGTAGTCGAAGAAAGAAGGAATCTATAAACATCGAAGTAGGAAGGTCAAATATCAAATCGTCTCCATCAATCAAATATCTAGGAGTGTTAATCGATGATAGACTTAAGTTCAAACCCCACTTGGAATATGCATGCAAGAAAGCAGCCGCTGTTAACAATGCCCTAAGCAGAATCATGCCAAATGTTGGAGGTCCAAGGCAATCGCGTAGACTCCTAATCTCCAGAGTAACAACGTCAATATTACTATATGGAGCACCCATCTGGGCACGGACTATTAGCAGTATTTCCCGGAAAAATATACTCTCATTATTCAGACAGTGCTGCCTTAGAATTTGCAGTGGCTACAGAACCATATCCCTGGAGGCCATATGTGTAATTGCTGGAATGATCCCAATCGACCTAGCTGCCGATGAAGGTTGTAGATTGTACGTAGCGAAAGAACTAAACGCAGAGGAAAGTAATCGCGACAGAAAAAAAGTCGAACGAAGAAAAACTATGTCATATTGGCAAAGAAGATGGGAAAATGCAGATAAGGGTCGGTGGACATTTAGAATTATCCCAAGCATTAGCAAATGGATAGATCGAAAGCATGGCGAAGTCAATTATCACCTTACTCAGTTCCTTACAGGTCACGGAGGATATCGAAGTTATCTCTATAAATACAAACACGATCACTCGCCTAACTGTCCTACATGTTCAGTAGTAGAGGATGTGGAGCATGTTGTCTTTAAATGTCCTAGATTCGAGGACATTAGACACGACGTAGAGGTAAACGTGGGACTTACAATTACCCCTGATAACATAATAGACGTAATGCTAACGTCAACAGAGCATTGGGATTTAATTTCAAATTTTATAAGAGTCGTGAATCTTCGCCTGCGACAAGAGGAAAAAACACGAAAGGAAACACAAGCAGCAATGTTATATGCAGAAGTAGCGTAAATGCTAACCAGCCCTGCGAAGTAATACTTAAGAGCAGTTCCGTAGGGTTTTGCGGTTGACGATGGGAAGGCGGTTTAGTGAGTAGGTGACGCACAACATAGTTGAATCTCACATCATGAATCATGATAAATGATTCATATCTATGAAGATTCCGCACCCCATATCAAAAAAAAAAAAGATAGATAGATAGATAGATAGAAAGATAGATAGATAGATAGATAGATAGATAGATAGATAGATAGATAGATAGATAGATAGATAGATAGATAGATAGATAGATAGATAGATAGATAGATAGATAGATAGATAGATAGATAGATAGATAGATAGATAGATAGATAGATAGATAGATAGATAGATAGATAGATAGATAGATAGATAGATAGATAGATAGATAGATAGATAGATAGATAGATAGATAGATAGATAGATAGATAGATAGATAGATAGATAGATAGATAGATAGATAGATAGATAGATAGATAGATAGATAGATAGATAGATAGATAGATAGATAGATAGATAGATAGATAGATAGATAGATAGATAGATAGATAGATAGATAGATAGATAGATAGATAGATAGATAGATAGATAGATAGATAGATAGATAGATAGATAGATAGAGATAGATAGATAGATAGATAGATAGATAGATAGATAGATAGATAGATAGATAGATAGATAGATAGATAGATAGATAGATAGATAGATAGATAGATAGATAGATAGATAGATAGATAGATAGATAGATAGATAGATAGATAGATAGATAGATAGATAGATAGATAGATAGATAGATAGATAGATAGATAGATAGATAGATAGATAGATAGATAGATAGATAGATAGATAGATAGATAGATAGATAGATAGATAGATAGATAGATAGATAGATAGAACAAAAGACTGTATTAAATATCTGGGAATCATTATTGACAACCGTTTATCGTTTAAATGTCATTTTGATTATATAAGAAATAAAACTAGCAATACATGTACATCACTACATCGCATAATGCTTAACACAAGGGGGCCTAAGTACCTAAGAAGGAAAGTACTCGCGGGAGTAGTCAAAAGCACCATACTTTATGGTGCGCCGATATGGGCTGAATCTACCAATTGTAGAAAGATTAATTCCATCTATAGACTTACAGCACTTCGGATATGCTGTGCATATAGGACAATATCTGATGAAGCGGCCTTTGTCATCGCGGCAATGATGCCAATTAATATACTGGCAATGGAGGCAAAATATGCGTATGATCTACGTGGTGTACCGGATAGCGAAAGTGCTTTAGGAATCTCTAAAGAGACAGCAATGCAGAATGGCAGCTTCGCTGGTCATAAACAAATTTTCACTGAATATATTATTTTTCATTGTTTTCCTGGACGTAATTCCTAAGAATTTTCCAATTAGTGTTAGTGAGAAATGTTATTTCCTGAATAACATTACTCCAGATTTCATATTTAACTCTCGTCTGAATCCGCTCGTCCAATTTTGTATAGATGTGCTCGTAATTCTGTGTGTCCACACAGAATACGTGCCATCATACTAACCTCCGACTTGCTCATTTTGAGGAGATTTCTCGTCTTACGCTCGTCAGGGTTACCCCACAGGATCTTTGTGGTTCTACCCATTATTCCAAGAGGCCTTATGGGATTCTCTTACCCATATTTTTGCGTTCGTCAGGTTAACTCAGGTTGCCGACTACTACCGAGTGGCCTGGTATCCATATGAAGTATGGATCTCCCGCTTCCTATTGGTTGTTTGGCTTTGAAGCGATTGCGTGTTCCACTATCTTATTGTTGACCAGGTCTTCTATTTTACTCGGTTTGTCTATTGGAATTTTGCCTGTCGGATTATTGGCATCGTAAACTGCTTAGCAGAGTCGTCCCGGTGTCTTCTTCTGGCAACTTTGGCGTAAGATGGTGGCTCTTTTCCTTTTTGGTGGACAATCTGCCCCCTCTCCATGCGTCAGTGTAAAATACACTGACCTTACAACGAAACGATAGAAATTAAAGGCATTATGTTCTGGGATTCTAGAATGGTTAACTACATTAGTTGATGAAATGGCATCAGTGATTCCCTCAGAGTTTATAATAATATTGTAAAGAACACAGATAGCTTTTACTATTGTATCAGCAAAAGATATATCAGTTTCAATAGGCTTCCAAAGTAAATACCACTTTGCGGTAATGATACAAATGCACATGTAGTACATTTACGTGCTCGAGAAACTCGACAGTTGAAATATTCGTTTTAATATTCTGCTCGATATTATTTTTTGTTGGAAAATTCCTCGAATCAGTGGTAATATTGACACATACATATGTATGTATCATATCAGGATGCACTAAGTACTTATTACATCATGTATCATATGTTAAATTTAAGTTGTAATAAAAACACTTTCATATTATTATCGTTAAAAATTTATTAAAAAGTAAAACTAATAAAAACAAACAATTTGATTTAAAATTACACTAACAAATACTTATTTAGTTCTTTAGGAAGGTTTGGAATCTAGCTGTATAAACGAAATTTACTGGCTTGACAACTTTGGCTTTTGTCAAACGAGCAGGTACCGCTGTTGGGGGTTGGCGTCTTTGTGGGAAACGCTGATAGACCAAGCGAGCAGGTTTTTCAAATGTATTGGAAACTGAAATTACAGCACCATTTTCATCAACAACAATTTCTTCATCTACTTCATCTAAATCTTCGGCAACTTCTTCGGCTTCTGTTTCCTCTTCAGCTTCTACTGGAACTACTTCAACAATTTCGGGAGTGGCGTCAGTTTCAGGTGGACCGTAAACTTCATCGGGTTGTTGAGTTTCAGTTTCTGGTGGACCGTAAACCTCATCAGGTTGTTGTACTTCAGCTTCTGGTGGACCGTAAACTTCGTCGGGTTGTTGAGTTTCAGTTTCTGGTGGGCCATAAACTTCATCAGGTTGTTGGGCATCAACTTCTGGTGGACCATAAACTTCGTCAGGTTGTTGTGTTACAATTTCAGGTTTTTCAGTTTCAGTAGGCAATTCGAAAGGAATTTCAGGGGTAACACCTGCTGCGGGATATCCAGTTGGTGCTGGTGTAGGAAGTGCTTGTTGGCGAGCTGATACTCGTCTTCTCAAGGGCTTTTGGCGAATAGGATCCGCTACTACACAAATAGCCAAAGCCAAAACAACAATTGCGGTGAATTTAAACATTTTCAAATTGTTTAATTTAATTAGTTAAAACAATGTTCGTTGATTGAAGTGGGGAATGAATGTACTGAAGATTTTTTAAAAATTCTGTTCTTATATACAAAATATAGGAAGTTCTTCCTCAGTTTGACACTGACTCTGACAATGACAGTTCTACCTAGTCGTGTATCTTTAACGAATTTCAATTTATGACATGTACTACTAGTAGAAGTGTTTAAATTAATTTTTACATTATTTATGAATATAGCAACATAATAATATGTTCTAAAGACAAATTGTCCGTTTTTGATATCGGCCTCTTTTTTATTGTTGTTGTTTCTTGCTAAAACACAATTCTCTAGGCTTTAATTAAAGTTATAATCATGTATGTTTTTATTTTTCTATTCACCTCTGCACGTGATCGGTTTCCTAAGTAATCGTCCATCAACCGATGTGTTGAAAGTGTAAACACTTATCAAAATTAATATTCGAAACATAAGCGGATTTTAAAGTGTAATATTAATTTTTTTCATAAATTTATATATTTCTTTTTTATTAATTAAAACCTGAATCAACCTTGTGAGAGCAGAGTTTATGGTAGTAAGTTCAATATAACTCATTATCAGGGAATTTATTTATGGAGAACATAATTGGAAATTATTAGATATTGTACAAATATTTCAATGTGGGTCGTATTTAAAAAAATTGTACATGTACAAACATGTCATCCATATACAACTATAAATGTCAATTTTGTCATAAATACTCGTTAATAATACGCGTACGTTTATTTGTATGTTATCGCTACTAGTGTTTTAAATTAATCGAATAATAAAAATGTATATAACTGAAATAAAAATTTCATATTAGCATCTTGATCTATCACTTTTAAATGCTTCCTCTTTCATATAGTTTCTAGGAACTTTTCTAGTCTACAGTCCAGCCTGTAGTCCAGTCTATAGTCTAGTATGCATTCTATTCTAGTCCATAGTCTAGTCTATAGTCCAGTCTATAGTCCAGTCTTTAGTCTAGTCTATAGTTTAGTCTATAGTCTAGTCTATAGTCTAGTCTATTCTAGTCATAGTCTAGTCTATAGTCTAGTCTATAGTCTAGTCTATAGTCTAGTCTATAGTCTAGTCTATAGTCTAGTCTATAGTCTAGTCTAGTCTAGTCTATAGTCTAGTCTATAGTCTAGTCTATAGTCTAGTCTATAGTCTCTATAGTCTAGTCTATTCTAGTCTATAGTCTAGTCTATAGTCTAGTCTATAGTCTAGTCTATAGTCTAGTCTATAGTCTAGTCTATAGTCTAGTCTATAGTCTAGTCTATAGTCGTCTAGTCATAGTCTAGTCTATAGTCTAGTCTATAGTCTAGTCTATAGTCTAGTCTATAGTCTAGTCTATAGTCTAGTCTATAGTCTAGTCTATAGTCTAGTCTATAGTCTAGTCTATAGTCTAGTCTATAGTCTAGTCTATAGTCTAGTCTATAGTCTAGTCTATAGTCTAGTCTATAGTCTAGTCTATAGTCTAGTCTATAGTCTAGTCTATAGCCTAGTCTATAGTCTAGTCTATAGTCTAGTCTATAGTCTAGTCTATAGTCTAGTCTATAGTCTAGTCTATAGTCTAGTCTATAGTCTAGTCTATCAGTCTAGTCTATAGTCTAGTCTATAGTCTAGTCTATAGTCTAGTCTATAGTCTAGTCTATAGTCTAGTCTATAGTCTAGTCTATAGTCTAGTCTATAGTCTAGTCTATAGTCTAGTCTATAGTCTAGTCTATAGTCTAGTCTATAGTCTAGTCTATAGTCTAGTCTATAGTCTAGTCTATAGTCTAGTCTATAGTCTAGTCTATAGTCTAGTTCTATAGTCTAGTCTATAGTCTAGTCTATAGTCTAGTCTATAGTCTAGTCTATAGTCTAGTCTATAGTCTAGTCTATAGTCTAGTCTATAGTCTAGTCTATAGTCTAGTCTATAGTCTAGTCTATAGTCTAGTCTATAGTCTAGTCTATAGTCTAGTCTATAGTCTAGTCTATAGTCTAGTCTATAGTCTAGTCTATAGTCTAGTCTATAGTCTAGTCTATAGTCTAGTCTATAGTCTAGTCTATAGTCTAGTCTATAGTCTAGTCTATAGTCTAGTCTATAGTCTAGTCTATAGTCTAGTCTATAGTCTAGTCTATAGTCTAGTCTATAGTCTAGTCTATAGTCTAGTCTATAGTCTAGTCTATAGTCTAGTCTATAGTCTAGTCTATAGTCTAGTCTATAGTCTAGTCTATAGTCTAGTCTATAGTCTAGTCTATAGTCTAGTCTATAGTCTAGTCTATAGTATAGTCTAGTCTATAGTCTAGTCTATAGTCTAGTCTAGTCTAGTCTAGTCTAGTCCAGCGGTTCCCACCGTTTTTTACTTCGCGGACCCCTTGAGGAACTTATTTAACTTCATTGTTATAAATAATTGTTCATCCGAAAATTGTCTTAGTCCTGGTCCATAAACCCTATAAAATATTCCCGTACATTGAGAATAATTAGTATTGCGGTGATGTTTTCAATTGCATGGTTTTAAATATAGAATGACTTCTAACATGATGTTTAATTTTATGATCGTGAGAGCTTTCATGTTCATTTCTCGTCAAGGTAGCGAAAAGGTTTCTTTATCAAGTATTGTCGACATGTCTGAAAGAGTCATGTTTCTAAATTTTTTTGCGATTGCATAGGAGTGAGCTGAGTATGTAAGCTAAGTTTTCGGGAAAATATGTGAAAGTTAGACTTCTTCGATGTTGTTGCGGAATGCGTTACCCACATAAAATTTGACCTGAACTTTTTGCGAATGTATTGTGAATTTGGATCTTAAATTTGAATTTTAAAAAACCTACGAATTATCGGAATGGAATATTTATATTTAAAATTAACTAGATTAACACTTTTGCTTACAATTTAAAAAAAATATTATGAAATGTGTCCTAACTTCATATTCCGGGATTCCAGTAAGGCAAATCATTATCCGTCTGATATAAAAACATTTATTTCGATACATATACATTTATAAAAATTACAAATCACGTAATACTTTACTTTATAAATGTGAAACAATAGATTTGTAGGGCCTAGCTTCATACTGATAAACGACCGAAACAATAAAATTCAAAAAGTCACCAACAAATCTGGGATTATTGAATAAAAATTGTGCATTTTAGTATTTATGAAAAATTTGGAGATATTTTTAATATTTTCTAACATATAGAGAATATTTTTTATTCATGATTTTTTTTCGTTCGTCTTCGCGGACCCCCTAGGATTTTGCTACGGACCACTAGGGGTCCGCGGACCCCCTTTTGGGAACCGTTGATATAGAGAATATTTTTTATTCATGATTTTTTTCGTTCGTCTTCGCGGACCCCCTAGGATTTTGCTACGGACCACTAGGGGTCCGCGGACCCCCTTTTGGGAACCGTTGGTCTAGTCTATAGTCTAGACTATAGACTAGACTATAGACTAGACTATAGACTAGACTATAGACTAGTCTAGTCTATAGTCTAGTCTATAGTCTAGTCTATAGTCTAGTCTATAGTCTAGTCTATAGTCTAGTCTATAGTCTAGTCTAGTCTAGTCTAGTCTAGTCTATAGTCTAGTCTATAGTCTAGTCTATAGTCTAGTCTATAGTCTAGTCTATAGTCTAGTCTATAGTCTAGTCTATAGTCTAGTCTATAGTCTAGTCTATACTATAGTCTAGTCTATAGTCTAGTCTATAGTCTAGTCTATAGTCTAGTCTATAGTCTAGTCTATAGTCTAGTCTATAGTCTAGTCTATAGTCTAGTCTATAGTCTAGTCTATAGTCTAGTCTATAGTCTAGTCTATAGTCTAGTCTATAGTCTAGTCTATAGTCTAGTCTATAGTCTAGTCTATAGTCTAGTCTATAGTCTAGTCTATAGTCTAGTCTATAGTCTAGTCTATAGTCTAGTCTATAGTCTAGTCTATAGTCTAGTCTATAGTCTAGTCTATAGTCTAATCTATAGTCTAGTCTATAGTCTAGTCTATAGTCTAGTCTATAGTCCAGTCTATAGTCTAATCTATAGTCTAACCTATAGTCTAGTCTATAGTCTAATCTATAGTGTAGTCTAGTCTATAATCTAATCTATAGTCTAGTCTATAGCCTAGTCTAGTCTAGTCTATAGTCTAGTCTATAGTCTAGTCTATAATCTAGTCTATAGTCTAGTCTATAGTCTAGTCTATAGTATAGTCTATAGTCTAGTCTATAGTCTAGTCTATAGTATAGTCTATAGTCTAGTCTATAGTCTAGTCTATAGTCTAGTCTAGTCTAGTCTATAGTCTAGTCTATAGTCTAGTCTATAGTCTAGTCTATAGTCTGGTCTATAGTCTAGTCTATAATATAGGCTATAGTTTAGTGCATAGTCTAGTCTATAGTATCTTGTATGCAATTTACTTTATAGTCTAGTATATAGTCTAGTCTATATTCTAGTCTGTAGTTTGATCTATAGTCTAGTTTATAGTTTACTCTATAGTCTAGTCTATATTCCACTCTGCAGTTTGGTCTATAGCACAATCTATAGTCTAGTTTATAGTTTAGATCATAATATAATATATAGTATGGTCTATAGTCTAGTATATAGTCTAGTCTTTAGTAGGTCTGAACTATAGACTCCATAGTTAAGTCTCTTATAGTTCAGTCTATGACTATACATATGATAAAATATACCGCTGTCTATATTATTCTAAGCATTTATTAAAACGATTAATCGAATAATTATTTAAATAAAACTGCCAACACTACATAGTAATGAAATATTTAACATTTTTGGCGCTTTAAACATTTTCACAGACAATTAATTTAAAATACAGAGTATATTGTATGAATTCATAGCAACATAATCAAAATATTTACGACACATAGTTATTGTTATTCATTCATGTATATTTTTCACGTTAAATATTGAGACCGGCAAAAATAACAATAGAGTGTTTCGTCGGAGTATTACTATGTTTACACCAGGGCATGCAAGTAATAAATTCATTAATTTGAAATTAAAATATAAAAAGCCCAACAGCTGAATTTCTTATTCTTATTGGGATATATTTAGCAGTTTAGTTTAATAGAATATTACGAGGCACCCATGGAACATTTAAAGCTTGCTTGACTGCCTAGATATGTTCAAATATTTGGAATTTCGAAATATCCAACCATCCCAGTCTGCGTACAATGACTATGTATTATTATGATACTTGATTGATGCTGTTTCCTATGTATTTATACTAGTATCAAGCGATGCCATGAGAACTGCGTCAACCAAGGCTTTGGCAACGTTGCTAGGTATTCCATCTATTAAAACATATACAAGATATAAGCCGGCACTTACGGCTCATAACTTATAGGTTATAGGACACGTCATTAATGAATACTAGACATATTGTAGAGAGCTTTGAAACATTGATTCCAGATAGAATGTCGCGGGTTCTGTATTGAATACTCAGAAACTGAAATATACTGCCATTTACCTAATCAGAACACTAGCTTCCAGGCAGTAGTCCAAGCAATAAAGGAATGCGTAAATTGGATTAGAATCAGGGTTAAAATATTTAGCAACAGCAAGAAGGAAATTAGGGCGATAGCAGATGAAAAGTTAAATCTATGACCGCATTGGATTGTAAGAAAGCTTTAATCGAATAATGGGTACCGGGCCACTCGGTAGTAGAGGGCAACGAAAAAGCGAATGTTCTAGCTTTAAAGGGAGGCAAAACCATTCGTCGCAACGAGGGCTGAATTAAAAATATGAGTGAAAGAATCCCATAAGGCTTCTTGGAATAATGAAACGGACCCTAACGTAAGCAGGCTAGTATGATGGTACTTATTCTGAGTGGACATTGAAACTCTGGAGCACTTTCTTTGCCTTTGTAAGGCTTTTGTAGAAATTAGGTCCAAATATCTTGGCAGTTATGTATGTATATAATATCCCTCACAAGCACTGATAAGAAAATTCTTAGGTCAAGTCATGAAATTAGTCCCAATTACATAAAACTGTGCAGATTTTTGTAGAGAACAGACGGTTATAGCTTAATCGATTCAGAAAGTCATTTTGGGCCGATTAGTATTCTTTAAGGTAAGTGTAGGACCAATCGCATAATACCCTCCCTTCTATAGTGGTATATGGAGCGAAAAATTGACATTTCCCAAGAACCATTATTGAAGTATAGAAGCAAATGTTTTTAAATGATTTCGTTAGTATTATCCTGGTAGTGTTCCTAGTGAATAGTAAAGCTGCTTTAATCTAAGATTTCTAAAATTTCACTTTGTCTTATTTGAATGTTTATTATTATAATATCTTTATTTAAAAATAAATACTTGAATTTGGCTGATTTACAATACACACCTATGAGGACACTTAGGAACTTAGTAACTGAATTATATGTTCAACAACCAGTAATCATCAATTACTTAAAAAAACTTCAAATTAAAATTAGGCATTTGCCAAATTTGCAATAATTTTCTTATAAATTTCAATGCCCTGTAAATAGGTATCAGCTTTTATGAACTCATCATGATCGTGCAACAATACGGGAGTATTATTCATTGGTGAAAAGCCTAAAGCTGGTATACCAACTTGGCGTATGTAACGGCTGTCAGTGCCACCAGTAAATATTTGAGGTTCTGTTTTAAGGCCCCTAAAATAAGAAATAGAATAGTAGTCAATAATTCGAGTGATCTAATTAAAGTGATCTAAAAGCTCTATTTACATTTCATCGGTGGCCTTTTTAAAGGCAACCCAATAAGAATTACTATTATCGGTAGCAGTAGGTGCAACACGAGGACGTTGTTGGTCATAGGTAATTTCTATATCTCCACCGGCTTCTTTGCACCACTGATGCAGCTTTAAGGTTGAAAAAAATTTATTTAAAATGTTAAAGGACATTGGGTTTATTATGAATGTATAAATCTACCTTTGCTTCAAATTCTTTATGATCAACATTTAAATCCAAACGAACATCGAAACACAACATCATTTTGGGCGGTATGACATTACTTTGTACACCACCAGAGATTTTGGTTAGATTTATAGTTGTCACATCGCCAATAGTTAATTGAGGATTATTTTCCAAACGTCGCACTTGCTCTTCACGCAAAGACATCATTTTATGCAAAATATAATTGAGTTTTTCACCGGCCGTATTTTTTAGCAATAAAGAACCATGGCCCGCATTGCCATTGATGTGAAAATATACACCTTATTAAGGAAATTTATTGGAAAATTCAGGAAAAACTGTTATTAGGAGATAAATATGTTTAATACTTACGCCATACACTACGTTCGGCATAGAACACTGGATAGACATCAGTGGGTGATGCCAAACCTTCATCCAAAGAGAAACCAATATTTAATGCCTTAAAATCACAAGTTTCAACAAATGGTCTCATGCCCAGACCACCTCCCATTTCCTCGTCTATAATTAAAGATAAATGCATCCAAAATGTATGTTTAATGTTTAAAAGTCATAAAAGGGCTAAATATTTTCCTCACCTGGCACAAATGAACAATATATAGTCCTCTTAAATTGTACACCACTTCGTTTTAGTGCTCGTAATGCACCCAAATATTGCATGCCCACACATTTCATATCCTGTGTGCCACGTGCGTAAATACGACCTTCTTCATCGATTTCAGCACCAAATGGTGGATGTGTCCAATTTTCCGGAAAGACCGGTACAACATCCATGTGTGAATTTAGCAAGATTCCGGGTAAACTTAAATCTGTACCAGCCCATGTTAGTATTACAATGGGATTTTCTTCATTAACTGGATAATAGACACGCATGGGCATGCCCAGCAATTGGGATTGTTTCCTTAGGAATTCCACACAGGGTTCTTAAAAATAAAAATAAAATAAAACAGTGAAAATATTTATTCATAAATGCTAGGACATACAGAAAAAACGCTATTCCGCAATTTAATAGTTGTGGGTTACATAATCGGCAATTCAGAGTCAAGTTGCATTTGGATTCTATAAAAGATTTTAAAAGTACTAATCGATAAAAACCTTTACCATATTACCAAGCCAACTATTGCATGACTCGAGAAGCTTGTGCTGCCTATTAAAGTTCTTGTTTTATGGATCCCCAAGATCACTTTTGACAGCACGGTCAAAATCTGGACTCCATTAAGCACTACGCCAAGGGTTTAATTTACTTCCTTCGTCCAGGTGATAAAGAGTTTTGCTAACGCCTTCGCTAGTGACAGAAGAACTGATATATTTCCTTGAGATAACTATTCACCAAGGTCTTCAAAGCACCGGCAGAACTTGGAGTAGTGGAGAAACATTCAAAGCTGACAAAATGCTACCCTAATGACTGTAACGGGCTGCTTAAAAATTACCTTAGAACATCATCTACACAAGAAATCGAAAATCCTTCCTGTCATGTTAACTCAACATTTCTTCTTGAGATGTCATCGGAAGAATCATCCTAAATTTAACATCACACAGTTGTTTGCTCCACCGAGGCATATCAGGAAGGGACTTCACGTATACGTGGAGAACATAAGAAGCTATGTGCAGGATCCACTAGATCAATCTTCGTATTCGGCCACTTTGAACGACATTTATAGAGACACCATCAATTCCGCGTCAATTAATACCGCAAGAATGTTGTACTTGGAGGTTGTCCATCTTCCACGGGGAACAAGAGAAGTTCTGGAACAACTAAGATAGAGGTGATGCAACAGGCTTAATACCTATTGGTTGCGGATAAACTGTGCCATTCCTAACGAATGTCTAGATGCATATGGTACCCACCACTTATTCAACTGCTTAACTAACCATACTTCTCTCTGTCCAATAGATTTATGGACACATACTCTTGAAGTAGCACAATTTTTACTCCTGGACATTAATGCAACCAGATTATTGTATAGTTTTAGCTTTTGCAACAACAACATAGCCCTTGTTTCAAGAAGATCTAACTGAAACAATTGAAAATATCTAAAAAGATCAAAATCTACGATCGCATTTGACTTTGAGAGAACCTTTACTGAATATTCTGTCAGATATCCAACCATGTGGGTAGCAGGCCACTCGGTAATAATTGGTAAAGATGGTTCGAACTTATTTGCTATAAAAAGAAGGAATCTTGACGCAACGAGGTTAAAAATATGTACGAGATAGTCCCACTACAAATGTCCTATGGGGTGACCCTAACAAGAGCCAGATGATAAGTGGAATGTATAGGGAAGGCAAGAAATGTCGATGTGCTTTACGTGAACACCTGCCATGTTGGCCTACATTCATTCATCCTGTTTCATATAGAATTAAGACCACCTCATTTCCAACGCTTAGTCTCACAGTCACTCCTCTGTGGGGTATCTGTTGTCATACGTAAACAGCACCGAACTTATCCCGAAATATAGATTTCATCGTGCTCAGTCCTTAAACCGCAACTTACTGTTCCCGCGAATTTGGGTTTAAACCACAGCCGAAGGAACCTCAACCAACTGACCAGCCAGTGGGCAACTGACCACCCATAGTACCAGATTATGTGGTTCTCTGGTTAGACCCCATGCCAAATCATACCAAGGACTAGCCGAGGAGTGAAGTGACATTAGCAGTTTATAGTCCCGGCAAACTAAAGGTACTGGAAGCACCTCCTTACCGCGGGATTGCAATACACTAAGATGAGGGCTTTCATCAAGTAAAATTGTCCCGAGGGGAAGAGTAAGGAGCATGAGGGGATGACAGTGAAACTCTGGAACTCTTTTTTTGTCAAAATATAGATCCAAATATCATGAGAGCGATATTATGATAGATTTAAAGGAGCTATGGCCATAAAACGGGGTTTTCACACCAACATTTTTTATGTTCAGCTGTTTTTATAACTATATAACAGATAAAATCGGGTATTTGTTCATTCTATAGAATAGTTAATATACAATTTTTCATACAGCTAGCCATTCACTGTATTATAATTAACAAACAACCCTCGCATTTTAAATCTTATCAATTGCGAACAGTTATATATCTAGATTAAAAATTTTGTTTATATAAAAACACTGTGACTTGTTTTAAACTTAATTATTCAATTGTTTATAATATGCAACCCACAAATGAATATTTATACCTTCGAGAATTCGCAATCATGAAATGTGTGTAAATTTATTTATCTCTGTATTATAGAAATAATTTAAAAGTAACAGATATCATCACTAGACAACATCAATGTTGATGTCAAAATGTTCAAAATATATACGACTATTTTTCACTTAATGATAATGATAATGATGAGTATTTGAAATTTTCCACTTACTGTAATCGGGCTTTGGATGAACACTGGGTATACGCAAATATTCACAAAAATATTGAATTTCTTCATTATTTTTGCAATCTTTGGCCATGTTAACGGACTTAATAATTTATGCACTTTTGGTGGTGAATTCTAAATTATAACTGTTAAAACTTGTTTGTTGTTTTGTTTATTTATTATTGTTATTGTTATTAAATAATTATCAATCAATCGATTAATTCGATTATGTATGTATGTATGTATGTATGTATTTACTTTTGTTGTTTTTTTTGTTTTTGTTTTTATTTATTTTTTTTTCTACGTCCGAACGTTTCGATAATCTCACTAGCACTAATGATCTACACTCAGTGTGGCAGCTTACTGAGTACTATGGGGAAGTTCACTTTGTAGGTGTGATTTCACTCGAGAAATTGGACAAACTCAAATGATAGTTTGTTGTAATACTATATCTAGTGTTAAAATAAATGTCTTCCATTGTTGTTTTGTTTTTAAATAGAAAAAATTATAGGACGGTTTTTCAGTTAAATTATTTGAACTATTACGTATTTGTGTGTATTTGTAGTTTTGTTTATGTACGACGGCAGTTTAAAAAGTATTTACAAACTAAATATATTATCCGCAGACATTTTATAAAGTATACGAAGAGGCAAAGTAGGATGAATATAAATTTAGGAAAACAAATAAATCTTTCTAAATGGCGGATCGAAATGGGATAAAATGCACATTTTGTTAGTATGTATGTACCTATCTCTGAATCGGCTAACTTAGCTTTTTTTATTACCTTTTAAAATTTAACAACTTTTATTTGCAAGTGTTTTTATGAAATGTTTTAAAATCACAACAAAAAATGCCTACAGATGTTTTAAATGATTTTTTTTTTGCTTTGTTTGAAAGAAGCAACAGCTGTTTGTATTTATACGATTATAAAAAAAAATATTTAGTAAAATTATTTCAGGGTCATAATTTGTATTCTATGTTACCAAACAGGGAAGAGAATCCCTCTACCCTATAATAGGAAGTGAACTAGATATAAACTTATTTTCTATTCCCGATTTTCCCGGTCTCCTTATGAGGCAGAGCTTATGCCCTACAATCGCCCAATGGCCCTCTATCTCTCAGAAAATATGTTCATATCCATCGTCTAAATAATCAATCCAATTCATATTACACATTCCGTAATAACTTGGACTTAGTACTTCAGAAGCTAGTGTTGTGATTTGTTATACCGTATTAGATCTCGGTTGCTTTATTTTCAATATAGATCCCATGATCGATTTATCTTCCAATTTAGAACCTTCAGTCCAACAACAGTATCAGTTATTGTTTTAATGTTTCGGGTTATTGTTTCGCTTGATAATGATCTTCTATCAGGGATTATTAATTCGTAATTTCAGGCAAATGCTGTCTCCGCCATCAGAGTAATAGTCACATCTAGGACAATATTAAACGAGTGGGGTGCATTACATATCCTTGATGTACAGCAATGCCAATTTTGATTTTCTCGCTTAATTGGTTTTCGTACAAGACTCTGAAGCTTTCCTTTATAGCATTTGTATAGGCGATTTTTGACGGTGTGGTTTATATGGAAAGCGACTGTTAAATTTTCCGTATTAAGAAAGGAGTGTGTTTCAGGTACATGAAGTCTAATTCGCGAATGTCGGGAGTCTCTTGACGATATAACGACAATCTAACTGACTTTGTTAGTTGGTGTTCTGCCTTCATGCTACAAATAAATATGTAATTATTCGGGCCTGCTCAGATCAGATGAACATCCATGACCAAAGAATCGATTTCGAGACCAACGTTATGCTTGCCTTAGATTAGATGCCATGATGCGGCATCATGTCAGAGGCTTCGATTTAATGACTGTTCTAGAAGCTGATAATGAGAACAAAGAAACAACTGTTGAGCAGTTGTCGGAGTTAATCCATAGAAAAGATATGTAAATTCGCTCCTCGGATTAGTTCGAATCAATATCAGACATGAACACATACATATGTACATAGTTATCATGCGGAAAATTCCCTAGAAATTTGTCCCGCATAAAAACATTTTGAATATGTAAGAGTTGTAAAATAATTTTCATAATGCCCTCGTACACGTAATTTCTGTGTTTTTATGAAAATTTATATAAGACAATACAAATTGTAGATACCAGCTTTAAGATTGTGTTTGAGTAATGTAAATATCTGTGCATTTATTTTTATTTGTATGGATATGTGGATTAGTAATAAAAAAATATCATAAAATATCACTTCGTGTTTAGAACTGTCATATTGGTTAAGTCACATCAGATAAGAAATGTGGGCAGAATAAATGTCAAAATTCTGGGAAATGAAATACAAAATCTCGAACCCTGACAATTTTATCACTATAATGCACAGTGGGACAGATGGAAGAATTATAGACTTCTCTATAGTCAAGACTATTATAGATTTCTCTATAGTTCTTCCATCTGTCCCACTATATATGTGCTCACGTCTGATACTGACTCGAACTAATCCGGGGAGCGAATTTACATATCTTTCTTATGGATTAACTCCGACAACTGTTCAGCAGTTTTTTCTTTGTTCTCATTGTCAGCTTCTACAACAGTCATTAAATCGAAGCATCTGGCCTCTAATCCACGGCAATCATAGTCTTGGTCTCGATAGCGTTTCTTTGGTCACCGATATTCATTTGATCTGGGCAGAGCAGCCCCGAATAATTCCGTCATTATTCATTATTTATAGCATTAAGGCAGAACACCAACTAACAAAGTCTGTTAGATTGTCGTTATATCATCAAGAGACGCCCGACATTGGCGAACCAGACTATATATACCTTTAACATACTCCTTTCTTAATACCGAAAATGTAACAGCCGTCACGTTTTCCATTTGTAGACCATCTATCGTGTGATAGTCAAGACTATAGATTGCTCTATAGTCAAGCCTATAGATTGCTCTATAGTCAAGCCTATAGATTGCTCTATAGTCAAGACTATAGATTGCTCTATAGTCGAGACTATAAATTGCTCTACAGTCATGGCTATAGATTGCTTTAGAGTCATGACCATAGATTGCTCTATAGTCATGACTATAGATTGTTCTATTGTCAAGTCTATAGATTGCTCTATAGTCAAGACTATAGATTGCTCTATAGTCAAGACTAAAGATTGCTCTATAGTCAAGACTATATATTGCTCTATAGTCAAGACTATAGATTACTCTATTGTCAAGACTATAGATTGCTCCATCTAGTCTAGTATATATACTAGTCTAGTTAGTAGTTCTTAATGCACTTTAAGGGATAAATACAGAATTATTTTGCGACTTTTTCTAGTATCAGAAACCCTAAGTATCTATGTGGTCGTTATACATACTTATATTTTATTTAAACTTTGATAAAGATAAGATTACAATAAAATGCATATTAATTTAAACAAAAACAAGTAATTTAGATAAAACAAAATAAAACAAAATTTAAAATCTCCCAATAGTCTATAGATGTTAAAAATTGCTTGTCATCGAAAGCCTGATATAGTATAATAGAGAAATTGCTATGGGCTTTCCATGAAATTTATACTAATGATCAAAAGACAACAGAAATGATCTTTAACATACATAATAAGAGCAATACTACACAGGGATTAAAACCAACAATGTACAGCTATGTTGGGTGCTATGTAGAAGAACCATAAAGCAAAAAGTGTGGTTAACTATATAGTGGCACTTCAATAATTTATTGTCAGAAATTGCGAGACAATGATTTCAGATAAATGATCATGATCAAGTAGTACTTTTGAGCTAAGAACAAGAGATAGAACTTACATGGGAATCTACATTGAAACCACAGAAAGTGAAATATGTATACATATTACCATTTACAGATGATAACATTAGCTTTCAGGTGAAAATCCGTGCTTTTATTAAATGTGTATAGTAGGGCATTATCTAAGTTAAGTCTAAAACTATATTAGATTTTAAGAAAGCCACAATCGACTCTTCTTCCAGTAGTACCAGGCCATTATCGATAACCAATCTGTCTAATAAAGACGGGAAACTTAGGGAATTAACATAATAAGTGGGGAACCGTTGGGGGCATCGAAAGCAGATTTAAAAGTGTGGGAAAGGGAATAGAACACATTGAATAATACAACGAAGTCGTATGATCGTATTTGGAAATGTTTTAACGCTAGGATTTTGTTAACTATATAGTGGAACTTCAATAATTTATTGTCAGAAATTGCGAGACAGCGATTTCAGATAAATGATCATGATCAAGTAGTACTTTTGAGCTAAGAACAAGAGATAGAACAGACATGGAAATCTACATTGAAAATACAGAAACTGAAATATGTACATATATTTATATTACCATTTCCAGATCATAATATTAGCTTTCAGGTGAAAGTCCGTGCTTTTATTAAATGTGTAAAGTAGGCGTTATCTCAGTTAAGTCTAAAACTATATTAGATTTTAAAAAAGCCGCAATCGACTATTCTTCCAGTAGTACCAGGTCATTCTGGAATTATCGGTAACCAAGCGGTCTAATAAAGACGGGGAACTTGAGGAATTGGGGGCATCGAAAGCAGATTTAAAGGTGTGGGAAAAGGAATCGAACACAATGAATAATACAAGGAAGTCGTATGATCTTATTTGGAAATGTTTTAACGCTGGGATTTTGTTTTATCGGCATTTAAAATTAAAAATTTTCCGAAATTATCTTGATCATGTCAAAATGTTCATGATCTCTATTTAAATTTGGATCTTCCCGAAGAAGAATACAGTTGCATTATCATTATCTCATGTCCCCGCTTGATTTTTCGTAATAAATCCTTAAGTTAAACCATCTTAAGGTCTAATTAAGGTTGTTTTTAGACACGTCTAGACTCTAGACGATATCGGTTGAAAATTTTTCCATTGCACTTTACTTTCAGTACAATTTAAAACCGCAAGTGATTTAATGCAAATTTATGTAGCATATCTAAAGGTTTTATCATATTTTGATTTGAATTTGTTTTGTTTTTAATAATATTGACATAAGATTAACACTGACGGAATAGTGAGTGTTATTGTTGAATTGTAATCTTTAGGAATGATTTTCAAAAAAATAAAAAAAAATTTTAACATTAAAATTTTTCCATACAAAATTCTTCTCTTTTTATGATAAATGGGATTATTTTCATAATGATAAATCACACACACACAGGAATACTATACTTGTAGATTTTAAGTTTTAATGACTACATTTCATACATAAAATGTTATAGATTATAAATATTAGGGTGACACTTTGTTAAATGAACGAAGTTGGTAAGATCATTCAAAGTAAGAGAAAACTAAAAATCAAGTGTATACAGACATATACATATATACAATCACCCCTATCGCCAATCAACATTTCACGTGAAATATGTTTTCTTTTCACTTATTTCGTTCACTAACTTTTTTGACGTGAAAAAAATTCCCCTTTAAGGGGAA